AAAGCCAGCAAAGAAGCCTTAGCTAAAGCCGTTATGCTTCATCACTTCGATCCTAACGCTCCGCTCAGTGTTGCTGTCGACGCATCAGATACCGCCATTGGCGCCGTCCTACAGCAACATACACATGGAGGCTGTAAACCTCTTGCTTTTTACTCTAGACGCCTACAACCTGCCGAAGTTAAGTACAGCACGTTCAGTCGCGAACTGCTAGCCGTTTTACCGTTCGACATTTCCGACACGTCCTTGAAGGTAACACCTTCATTATCTTCACCGATCACAAGCCGCTTATCTACGCATTCCGAAATCAATCACCTCGACACTCACCACGTGAGATTCGTCAGCTGGATTTCATTGCCCAATTCTCGACTGATATCCGACACATTTCTGGTCAACAAAACGTCGTCGCTGATGCCCTTTCAGGAGTATCTGCGATTGGCCCTGCCGGGCAAGCAATCGATTTGTCTACTATGGCCGCCGCGCAATCAAACGACCAAACCTTTTCGGAACTCCTTGATTCTTCTTTGAAGATATCCCCGCACCCTATGCCGTCATCTGATGGTACAATTTTATGCGACACATCTACCGGACGACCTCGACCTATCGTTCCAGCAACTTTTCGCCGTATCGTTTTCGATACTCTCCGATTGGAGCCGCTCCATCATAGTCCCAATTTTCAAAGGAGGTTCACGATCGGAATGCGGCAGCCATAGAGGAATCAGTCTGATCTCCATCGCCTCCAAATTGCTTGCCTCTGTCATCCTTCACAGACTGACTGGCACTCGTGAAAGCCAGATTCGTGAAGAGCAAGCTGGATTTCGTCGAGATCCTGGCTGCATTGACCACATCTTCACTTTGCGTCAGTTGTTGGAGCACCGTCACACATATTGGCGGCCCACCGTTGTCGTGTTCCTCAATATCAAAAGTGCATTCGATTCGGTGGATAGACATGCACTTTGGGACTGTCTACTCAGGAAAGGTGTACCTGAGAAATATGTGAATATTATCCGAGCATTATATGCTCGTAGCTCGGGCAGAGTGATGGCTTACGGCAAGTTGTCGTCGCCCTTTAATATCTCCAGCGGCGTGAGACAAGGATGCACGCTGTCACCTTTCCTCTTCAACTTTGCTGTTGACGAAGTCATGGAAATCGCGTTCACATGACACGACTTAGAAGGTGTGGAGCTACTCCCAGGAGAACGACTTCATAACTTAGAGTATGCTGATGATATCGCCCTGATCTGTGACAGCTCACAAATGTGCCAATCGGCACTGGACAGATTAGCACTAGCTGTCAGTCACTTCGGGCTTTGCTTTGCACCCTCGAAGTGCAAAGCGTTTCTCCAAGATTGGTCTGGACCTCCTCCTACGCTGACCCTTGGTGGGGATCAGCTAGAAATCGTTCGAAAATTCAACTACCTGGGAAGTTGTATCAGCGCCCTTGGGATTGAAGATGAAATCACGAACCGTATAGCAAAAGCTCGGGGCGCTTTTGCTAACCTTCGCCACTTGTGGCGCCGGCGCGACATCACTCTTGCCCTGAAGGGTAGAGTGTACAATGCAGCAGTACGTTCGACCCTACTGTACGGTTGTGAAACCTGGCCTCTTAAAGCCGCGGACCTGAAGAGGCTAGTTACGTTCGACCACCGGTGCCTTCGTAATTTAGCTCACATCTACTGGGAACATCGGGTGAGCAACGAGCGTGTTGGACGCCTTGTTTATGGCACAGGAAAAGGAAATGAACCGCTCAGCACCGTTATTTCACGCATCAGGCTCCGATGGCTGGGCCACGTGTTACGAATGCCAGCCCACCGACTCCCGCGATGTGTGTTGTTTGCGCGCCGGGGGTGTGGATGGAGGAAGAGGTGGGATGGCCAAACGATGACTTGGTCCAGAGGAATGTAGGCCCTCACTTCTGAGCTGGCGTCGGTTGCAGCGTCTCGGCTCCCTGGTTGGGGTCCGAAAGACGATGAGCACGTTTGGTTGGACACACTTGCTGACATGGCAAGGAGCCGACCTCAGTGGCGTTCGTGCTGTGAGTTTCTTTGTCCCACCCCATCCCTCTTAGCCTCCCCCTCCAACCACGATCTCATTATTTAGCCTTATAATTTTGCATAGTAATTTTTTGGTGCACAGCAGCCGGCTGGTAGCTTACCGGAACGATGCCCATCCGTTACCGGTTGCTCAGCCAGCTTGCACCAGTTGCTTTTTTCTCCTTTTTTCTATGTATTGCGGCACAGTAGCTGAGGTGTTCCCCACCTCTAGCTAACGTGTATGATGATGATGACTACAGTGCGTACCATTCAGTAGATCGATGCATTCTGTTCGTGATACTTGTACGGGAATGTGTTTCCGCGTGATATGTGAACACCTTACGTGCTCTATACTCGAACACTACAGACCGCGTCAGGATCTACGATTACCTGTCGGACAGTTTTCTCACAAGTGGCTTTCTTCAAAGTTGTTCGATTTCCCCATTTTTGTTCAATTTTCTCATGGATATTATCGTGGAATCTTCCCTTGCGGCATCTCACAATGTAGGCGTCGTGCTCCTCTCTGTCAAATGGCTGGTTGATCTTGAATATGCGGACCATATCGTCTTGCTGTTTCACGATCTTGCGGAGACACTCAACCCTGAATAGCTTGTCTAGAGTGGTTCCATTATTTGATATGCGCTTCGCGCCTTTAAAGTGCAAAGTGTTGCTACGGGACTTATGGCCACTTGATGATCCCTTAACCCTTGATAACGAAGAACTCGAGCTGGTTGATCTATTCACTTAGCAGCTGCGTCAGCGACGATGGACACATAGAAACTAAAGTCAGTTCACGCATTACAAAAGTCAGAACTGCCTTTGTGAACCTGCGGCATCTTTGACGACTGAAGGGAATTTCTCCCCGTCTGAAAGGCCGTGTTTACAAGGTCACAGTGAGGGCCGTCCTGCTCTATGAGAGTGAGACTTGGCCCCTTCGGTCTGAAGATCTGAGGCACCTTCTAGTCTTCGATCATCGTTGTCTGCAGAGCATTGCTGGTGTCGGGTGGCACGAGCATGCCCGCAACAATGATGTGCGGAGGCGAGTGCTAGGCAGCAATAACCAAGCTAGCTCCTTGGAACAACAGATAACACTGAATAAGTTGTGTTGGCTTGGGCACATACTACTTATGCCTGGTCACCGCTTACCTAGATGGGTCTTGTTTAGTTTGCCGTATGTAGAGTGGCGCAAGGCCCGAGCTGGACAAAAGTTGACTTAGCAGCGTGAAAAGAAGTCACTGGGGGCTGTCGGTTTGTCTCGTTTCCCGGGCCGGAGTCCACGTGACCCGCCTTTTGCTCGATTTGACACTTTATTTGACATGGCTGGCAGTCGATACCAGTGGCACGACTGCTGCCGTCTTCTAGTCGGACTGCCTGTTTATAGTGTGTTTTGTGCTGAGTTATCTGCGGGGTACTGGCTGATTATGCCGCCGGGCACTGGCAGCTACAAGGAGGCTGTGTCGTTGATGCTGCGTTATTTTTGCACAATATGCAGCTCTGTGACGGTATGTCGTTGACAAGGTGTACGCGCCTTGACCCTGAATGTTTACTTAGGACATTAAGGTTTTATTATTCTTTATTCCATAAGTCATCGTGGTTGTATGGCAGCGGAACATCAATTCAAGTGGCTGCTGTACGGCTGTTGTTTATTGATTGATTTACTGCCAATGAGCCCTATGTTGTATTGATTCGCAACAGTTATTTCGCATTGGTCATTAAGAAGCTATTTGCCTTGGACCACCGATAATTAAAGAGTATTGCTCACGTCTGGTAGACGCATTCAGTGAGCAGTACTTTTCTCAGACATTACCTCACACGCAGAGCAACGAACTGCATTCGGGTCGATGCAGCCTGGGGACCTAGCCGACAAATGTATGCACACGTAGCTGAGACTGGAGTCGCAACACATAACCTCGCATGATTGCACCGCACTCAAAAAGGTAATACCGACCGAAATCAAAAGTTCGTTTACTGACTAAGCCAGAGGCGAACATGTCTTAAGCGCTTTCGTATTTATAAGTCAATAGCACATGAACCTAATACATAAACTATAGAGGAAGCTGGATGTTAGTAAGGCACGTGAGTTGCGACATAGCGGTAGTCTCCTGAGGATAGCTCGGTTGAGGTGTGTGCGGTTTGATGCGGTAGATACAGCATTTCACTGGGGAGACCTGAGTTAGAGTCTGCGATTCCAATAAGGAGAGCTCACCTGTTACCTGCGCACTTAGGTTAGTGGCTGGAGTACTATCTTGCCGAGTGGAGCCCAGTTGATCTATGTACAAGTTTCGTGGAACTGCGTGAACTCTGCGACACATCAGCATCATAGCTATCCTGAGTTGCTGATTCATTTCCGTGCTGCGGATAGCATCTCCATTAGTGCTGCTGCCCAGCATACGTATTTTGTGACAAAGCACCTGATGTTGGGTGGATGTAGTGTGAAGGCGAGAGTTGATCCTTAGCAAATCTTCCTAGGGGTCGGCCGGTGGCCGAGTGGTGTGCACGTTTGGTTTGCAAGCCTAAGGTCATCGGTTCGAATCCGCGTAGGGGTGGGCGTCCTCGCGGTATACTCAGCCCGCGCGCGACTGGTGGTGGTCGTGCGACAGCGAAGCTCCGTTACGGCGTGCAGCTGACACATTATTATTTTTGTTAACCTACCTAGGCGTGTTCACTGGTGACTCTTGCGCTTCGTATATTGCTTCAAGTTGATTGCTAATACATATCACTACTTACCTTATTCTGCTGCCGGCCAACACAAGGAGAAGTGTGCAGCCGTTAAGTAACACAAGAGATGGTGTCGGCTATGAAGAAGAATGAGCTCTCGGGCTGATTATTTCGAAAATGACTTTGTTCAACTGCCTTTCCTTCTTACTATAGACACAAAATTCTCACCCTTAAGATTTGGGATATGATTTTTGATTTTTCTCTGGCCCACTTAGAGATGGTGTTTATACCCAGTTCTTTTTAATTTTTCAGGTAGTGGCTTTCATCAGTTATCTTCAAGAGCGTGTATCCACCTACGGACTGAAGCCACTGTTTACCTTGGCCGCAGTCTGTTTTGCTGGGATAGTCTTCCTCACTGTGATTGGATTAACTTACGCCGGAGTAATTGCTCCGTGGAGTGGCCGGTGAGTTCTTCGCTCATGATACGGTGTATACACTAGTATTTCCACTTGAACCACTTATTTTCTTGCGCTTTATGCAGCCTTCAGTAGAAGTCGAGGTCGCCATTTAGCAGGACACATGTTTTCACTAATCGCACAGGTTGTTGTCACATACTGCTGAATGAACTTGATGAGCACAATGCTTTTGATTCTATAGAAGGGACTATTGGTTCTTGCTTTAGGTGTCACCACTTCTGCTCCACCTCCGTGCATTCCTCTATTAATTAAAAGTGTATGCCAAATGTATTGTATTGTTGTGACAGTGTTTGACGTGCTTCTCCAACGTGCAGAATGATGCTGATAGAAAATGATAAATGTTAGGTGATGCCTGTCTTTGACTCCGCACCCTTGAGCAGATCTCGTGCATGCTTGTACTCCCCCAGTTGGGATTAACTGAATTTGGGTCCGGATCTATCTTTGCATCCAACCTAGATTGGATGACGATATGTCCTTGACAGTTTTCATTTGTTTGTACTCATCGACCGAATGCATAGATGCGTTTTTGCACGCGAAGCGCTTTCCATCCATCAAGAACGCGGATTGGTGCGTGCTTCTCTTTTTAGAATGATTGTCAATCATTAGCACGTTGTAAAGAATATATGCAGAACGGGCGAACTCGCTGTAGCTTTAACTTCTTCAACTTTGCACGCTATGCTATTCGACATGTGGCAACTTACTCATTCCGTCACTTTTCAACAACCGCCTTGGTGTCCTTTTCCCCCAGGGGTTGATAACTCGAGAGAATGTTTATAGTATTGTCCCCCTCTCTGCAACTGGTTTGGGTTTTCTTTGGTTCACTAAATACTGTTTCGATCAGCCGACGAATTCGGTTTCTGTTGAGATGAACCGTCAACTACATACGCTTGTACCTTTACAATTAGTAAACCCGTGCTGGCCATTCTCACATACTTTGTCTGGTGAAGCACCGCTCAGTGTCTTTTTTATTCGACATTTACGCGCTTATCTTGCAGCTTCTATTCTTTATGGGACACAACCTACGCAAAAATACACATTCCAATCATCAGTTCCGTCTCAGAACATCAGCCCACTTCTTGGTGTTCACTGTTCTTTGACATGCACATTCTCCTGGTGGCATTCCCTGCAGGCGTCTGGCTCTGTTTCCAAAATCTCACGAACGAACGAGTGTTTGTGGTGCTCTATGGCATTTTTGCATCCTACTTCGCCGGTGTCATGGTTCGCCTTATTCTGACACTGACTCCTATAGTGTGTGTTTTCGCGGCCATCTCATTCTCCCGTATGTTTGAAGTATTCTTGGATGACAAGGAAAGTGAAGGATCAACGAATGCTTCACCAAGGGACTCGAACGCCCTCAAGAATGACCGACGATTGTATGACAAACCCAGCAAAACTACCAAACAAGTAAGCCATTCTTGAACGCAGCGTTTTTGGGAGCTCACTGCTGTGGTCGCATACAATCTTTCCGTCACCTTTGGTTTACAATCTAGTACTCGATGCCTCAGACAACTATTTCAATTTCAATTCAGCCGACGTTTTATACCGACTGGTCATGTTCGGAAATTTGACTGTGTTTTATCTTTACTTTGACACAGTAGAGTTTACCCTAGACTTTCCGTTGTTACAACTACCTCGGTCCGGAAGTTTGTTGTGCCTTCAGACAGCCAACCATTCCGTTACTTCATTGCATTTTTGTCTCTTGCTGGCTCGATGAAACTGAAATCTCGTTTCCTTCCGTGCGTTTTAAGTCAGTTTGTCTGCTTTTCTGTACGAGATCACAGTGCACTAGTTAACTTAGCAAATAACGGAGCTCGTTCGGCGCCGGGGAGTAATATTTTACTGATACCAGAAACGTATACGTATGCGGCCTCAAACAATGTGGATCGGACGCCATTGTGTATCTTTATAGTTCGCCTTTCCCAGTGGTCATCCCCTTCACCTATACACTTAGAGGAACACCACTGAGGGTATGCAAGGATTATATTTGCAATTAATCCTTTGTTTCCCCTGATGATTTACTCAATTCCTCTTCCGTTCGCATTTTCCGTATACCACAGATGTCACGCGTCGCTGTCTTCGTCGAACTGGTCAATTTGTGAAGAGCGAGCTCCAATTGTTGTCGTTTCTGACACCAGTTTGGTGTTACATGACGTAGAGAAATGTCTTTGCACTGTTGCTGGTTCTTATAACCATTAGACTTCGTAAATTAATGAAAGTCTTCGGGGTTTCAGTTGTGATCCTATAGTGGAGAACATTGTGGCCCGATTTCCGACTGATCTTGGAGCTCTTTACTCTGAATAGTTTGCGTACACCCTGAGTCCATAGCCATCTATCGATGCTGCACCATCCCATTTTGTGGTACATAACTTTACACATGAGATTACGGGAAGTTACTGAAGTCGGTGAAATTTCCAAAGGCACCTGCATAACGTAAAGTATACATTGCGGTAGTTCATGGCGCAGTTCTCCTGCTCTGCGCAGTTGCTGCTAATTTACCCCCGGCACCTGACATCCGCTGACTGGTGCGTGACCGAGACGGACCAACTTGTTCTAGACTTTGTGACTCATCTAACTCTTGCAGATACTCACTCTGAAAACTTGTGGATCCCAACTTCCAACTGGCATACTTCGGATCGTTGGGAGTGACATTTTCAAATTCCATTCTGACCAGTAAACGGCCGGCCTTCATATACGCGGTACGGACATCTGTTCAGTTGAACAAATATGATCCGGTCACCGAAGTGCGGTAGGTCCAATTGCCACGACTCACGTCGTCATAAAAACAATAACCAACAACGGTTAAAAAAAACTAGGTTGACTGCAAATAATAATAATACTACTAATAAACGTATTTTCTCGGGTTTACGAGGCGTGCCCTTTCCGATCTCATCAAATTTTTACAACTGTTTCCTATACTCTTTACGGGCAGAAATAAAAATCGTTTTTTTAACATCCATGCTTATCTAGTACAAAGCTTTGCATGGTGTCCTAACGAAAAGCCGTGTGCGGACGGAATCAAGTTATCTTTTCCTTGGCTAAAGGATGAGGAGCAATTGTGTGGTGATGACAGAAATATTAATGTTGAAATCCTACTTCTTGAACATAGCATCCGATTTAGGCTACACATTTTCTATCCACATTGTGGAGTTCTGAGAAAGAGTGAAAACGGATAATCAATTTCCAGTTCAGCAGCTGTACCTATGAGCCGAGACAGATAGAATGGCAGATTTGTTTGTTGTGTGTCAAGCGAATGTGGTTGACACTTGTCTGCTGACTCAGGCGTTTTGGTTGGACTGTACGCTAGGCGTAAACGAGTTAAGAGGAAACCTGAAACCGATGTATTGGGAATAAGGACGAAGATGCTGGAAGCAAAATCGGTTAGCTTAATCTTGCTGCCTGACATGTTTCAATGGGGGAAACTAGGGAAGCATAAAAGATCGAATGGTAAAAGTGAATGAAGACGAATAGATTCCGTCAGCGTTTCCTTCTCAGCTCACACGTTTTGGTATGACTGTAAGGTAGGCGTGGCTGAGTAATCAGAACATGAATAGTGCAGACAAAGATGGTAATCTCAGTTTGTAATTCCTCTGGAATCCACACTCATTGGTATGTCTTTGATGTATGCTTTTCCGAGTAAAGAAGGAAAAAGAGTCGGATAAAGAAGTGTAAAAGAGCTTCTGTCAACATGTCATATTTTTCCATTTTACCTCTTCAGGAGAGCCTGGCCAAGTAACTACACTGTACGTAGCCCATTTTGTGTATATTTGCAACCACTACACTTAGGTCTCAGTCTTCTCCTCAAAAGAAGATTCAAGGCGTCGTTATAGTACATGGGTCGCAGCGCGCCTCGTCGGTCATCTTCGCTTCCATTGTCCCGGTTTTCCACCAAGGAAGCAACATCCTCTTGGTCGCTCCACCGAGAGCTGAACGCGAAGCTCACTGACGTCTTACACGAGCTGTTACATCACCTCCTCCAATTAATCCAACCGCTTCACCTTTTCACAGTGTTCCTCCACCCTAGCGAGTTACGCGTCGCCCAGCTTACGGGCCACTTGCGCAAGCTCCTCCAAGCGAAATCTCCGGTAGGGTTCACAATCCGGACCTGAGATCGACTGCGAGAGACCGGCCAGGAACTTATCCATCAGTAGTTGCTGTCTTAACGTCTCGTCCAGTCCAGGCAGAGCACGATCCAACGAGCCACGGATGTGACTCACAAACAGAAGGGGATCCGTTCCTACAACCAGCCAGGCCGTCTTGAATCGCCTCATTGCCTTCTGGCGGTCGGCCGGACTGTCCAATCTGGAGAACAGCGCCTCCTTCGCGGAAAGGTGTTCCCACAAAATATGCGAACTTTTTGCTTGCTCTGTACTCGAACACTAAGGCCACTTCAGAGTCTACGGTGACCTGTTGTATAGCTTTCCGACAAGTGGTGTTCATCAGAGTTGTCCGGTTTTCCCACTTTTGTTCACTTTCGTCGTGGGCTCCATCGTGGAGTGTTCCCTTACTGAGCATCACGATGCTGATCTTGAGTTGCTGCCTGGTGAAAGTTTACTTGATCTTGATTATGCAAGCGATATCGTCTTGCTGTTTAACGATTTTGCGGCACAATCAACCCTGAATTGCCTCTCTAGAGTGGTCCCATTATTTTATGTGCGCTTCGCACCTACAAAGTGTAGTGCTGCTGCAGGACCACCAGCCACTTGATGACCTGTTGACTCTTGAGAGCGAGGAACTCGAGGTAGTTGACCAATTCATTTACCTTGGCACCTGCATCTGCAACGATGAGCGCATAAGCACTGAAGCCAGTTCGCACATTACAATAGTCAGAACTGTCTTGAATCTTCGACATCTCTAGCAACAGAAAGGAGTTTCCCTCCGTTTGAAAGTCTGTGTTTACAAGGCCACCTTGAGGGTCATCCTACTCTATGGAAGTGCGACTTGGCCCCTTCGGTTTGAAGATCTGAGGCGCTTTCACTTCTTTGATCATCAGTGTTTGCAGAGCAACATTACTGGTGTCGTGTGGCACGAGCGTGCCCGCAACAATGATGTGCGCAGGCGATACTAGGCAGCGATAACCAAGCTAGTTCCTTGGGACAACAGGTAGTACTGAATAAGTTGCTTTGGCTTGGGCACATACCACTTATGTCTGCTCACCGCTTACCAAGAGAGGCGTTGTTTTCTCGGCCAACTGCAATAATAATAATAATAGTGTCAGCTGTACGCCGTAACGGCGCTTCGGTATGTGCGACCACCGTCACACGTGGGCTGACTATACCGCGAAGATCCCCACCCCTACGCGTATGCGAACCTGCGCCGCGAGATTACGAGACAAGCTCGTTACCTGTAGGCTACGGACCGACCTGGCCAGATGTAGGTCATCGCAAGGCTCGTGGTGGACAAAAGCTGACTAAGCAGCGGGAAATGAAGTTTCATGAGGACCATAATGGATACCGTCGGTCCGCCTCGCCTTCTAGACTGGAATCCAGGTGATTCACCTTGTACTTGGCTGAAGACTTTGCAGGTCATGGCTGGCAGTCGACACCAGTGGCGCGTCTGCTGCCGTCTCCTTGTTTGACTGCCTGTTTGTAGTGTGTTTTGTGTTGAGTTATCTGCAGGATAATGGCTGATTATGCCGCGGGGCAGTGGAAGCCGCAAGGAAGTTGTCTCGCCGATACCGCCTTATGTTTGCACGCTAGCCAGCTGTTTGTGACGGTATGTTGTTAACATAGTGTAGACGCCTTGACTCTGAATGTTTGCTTGAGGCATTAAGGTTTTCAGGTAAGTCACCCTTCTCTCCATCTTATTATTCTTTATTCCATAGGTCATCATAGTTGTATGGTAACGAAGCATCAGTTCAAGTGGCTAATGTGCTGCTGTTGATGATGCTTATGATTCGTGGCGGCCCACTTTAACTTGACGGTGCCTCTTCGTGCCGCCTCCAAGATCGCCTTCACCCTGCTTTTCGGAGACTTCCCAGGACCGCCAGCTTCACTCGGTCGGTCTTTACTCCGACCGTCCCCATTAGATCCTCTAGGTCCTCCAAGAATATCCTGGCATCCTCTTTTCCAAACGGCTCCGGTCAAGTGATCTTCATGATATACTTTGGCAAGTCACGGCACCAACATAACAGCCCAAAATGCGAGCGGAGTTTATTGTGGTCGACATTATGAACCACATGCCTCAGCTCACAAACAAAATTTCAACTCATCTACGCGCTTCCTATTGGAGCTTGTATGTCGCGCACTGCTTCCATGTCTATTGCTTGCGTGGCGCGCGCTGCTTTTGTGCCTGTTCCTCGCGCGCATGCATCTGCGGTTTCCAAGTGTTCTTTTTCTGTCGTGGCGTTAGCATGGCCCGTTATTGGTCCGTTACCCTTTGGTTTTCCTGGTTTTTTCTGTACTAAGACTTGGCCCAGTAGTACCTGCTTTTGGTCCGCCATAATTTGTATTTTGTATTCTCAACAGTCTATTAGCTAGACATAGAGCCAGCATAAAACCATGGAGGTCAAGAGATAAGCAAGATTCATGGCGTCATAATCATCGTGGCATGCTAGTTGAAGGTGAGCAACACACTTCAACTAATATGCCGCAGGAAGAATGGAACATTGTGATAAAAAGTAGAACAAAACATTTTTAGTTTGTTTTTCACACGCCGCTTTTGTTCTTTTTTGTCATTTTAATGTTTGTAGTATTAAACATGTGAATCAATACAATATTGTACACAATTCTTCCATTGATTCCTGTTGCGGGCCATATCTTCAAGAGTGCTAAGCCATTGGCACTCCTCATCTTTGGGTCCCCATCCTGGAAGACGTACGGATCCTACAGCGGCTAGACACGACGTCAGCAATTTCATGTGCTGACGCCAAGTGGAAGGCTGACCACCACGCGGTCGCCTCCAGCCAGGTCCTTGACGAGCGAATAGAGCGCGACGCGGTAGACGCTCAGGTGCCATGCGTAGGACATGACCGAGCCATCCCGCCATAATATAGTCGTCGGTCATCACGCTAATGGTTTACCATGTTCTTACGTAATCTTGTGGAAATGTCTGATTCACACTGACAGAATGGACAAATGTGAGCTACCATCATCATTGTGCAATCGTTCTCTGAGTCAAGTAATGGCTAAATATGTATTCAGGGAGTGTTTGAAGCTGCCTCACCAATTCCGTTTTCACCATATATTCTGGAAATCGGTTCAAAGCATTAACCACTCCACGTTCAAAACACATGGAGTGGGCAACTCGATTCACACGCTGTACCGTTATTTCCCTTGGAGCACTCACCGGTGCTAAGTGGTCTATCCTCATAGATCCTCCTTATCACCAGGAAATCTGGTAGGAACTTCGCCTCCTGCAACGTTATAAAGCACCCGGCCCTGACGGCTTACCTCACGCCTTATTTAAAGATGGTGGCTGTTCGCTGGTTCGGAAATTCGTCGTTTTGTTCCTACAAGTCTGGTCAAAAGAGGGGGTTCCATCGTATTGAGCTGAGCCGATAGTCGTCCTCATCTCCAAAAAGGGCTTGCGCACAATTTGCTCCAACTACAGGAGGAAGAGAATTCCTCAGAACGTGTTGCTCTACGGAGAAACCGACAAACTTGCTCATTTGCCTTAATTATGTGTACCAGTAACTGGAAAAACAAATTTGTCGGATCGTGAACTACAACGTGGGACAGAGAGGCAGCGACCGAACAACTATCGAGTATAAGTCACTAGACGTCGATTTTAAACCTCACCTGTTCGTTGACCAAGGACCAACGATTTATTCAATCAGATTGCCCTTTACACAGTGAAGCACTGACGATTTCACCTCAATTGGTGATGAAACGTCTACAACGAAATTGCCCAGCTCGGGGAATTAACTCGAGGTACAGGTATTCTGACTTATTTCCAACACCTGAAGTAACTCGGGTTAGTGCTTGCTCTATGAGTAAAACTTTTTAGTATGAGAGCATTCATTCATTCATTATACACATTAGCTAGAGGTGGAAAACACCTCAGCTACTGTACCGCAATACATGAAAGAAAAAAAGAGAAAAGACGCAACAGGTGCAAGCCAGCTGACCTACCGGTAACGGATGGGCGTCGTTCCGGTGGACTACCAGCCGGTTACTACGTAGCAAAAAAATTACTATGCAAAATTATAAGGCTAAATAGTGAGATCGTGGTTGAAGGGGGAGGCTAAGAAGGATGAGGTGAGACAAGGAAACTCACAACACGAACGCCACTGAGGTCGGCTCCTTGCCATGTCAGCAAGTGTATCCAGCCAAACGTGTTCATCGTCTTTCGGACCCCAACCAGGGAGCCGAGACGCTCCAACCGAGGCCAGCCCCGAAGTGAGGGCCTTCATTCCTCTGGACCAAGTCATCGCTTGGCCACCCCTCCTCTTCTTCCATCCACACCTCCGGCGCGCAAACAACGCACGTCGCGGGATTCAGTGGGCTGGCATTCGTAACACGTGGCCGAGCCATCGGAACTTGGTGCGTGAAATGACGGTGCTGAGCGGTTCATTTCCTTTTCCTGTGCCGTAAACAAGGCGTCGAACACGCTCGTTGCTCACACGCTGTTCCCAGCAGATGTGTGCTAAATTGCGAAGGCACCGGTGGTCGAAAGTAACTAGCCCTTTTAGGTCTGTTGATCTAAGGGGCCAGATTTCGCAACCGTACAGTAAGGTCGAACGTACTGCTGCATTGTACACTCTACCCTTCAGGGCAAGAGTGATGTCGCGCCGGCGCCACAAGTGGCGAAGGTTAGCAAAAGCGCCCCGAGCTTTTGCTATACGGTTCGTGATCTCATCTTCAATCCCAAGGGCGCTGATACAACTTCCCAGGTAGTTGCATTTTTGAACGATTTCTAGCTGATCCCCACCAAGGGTCAGCGTAGGAGGAGGTCCAGACCAATCTTGCAGGAACACTTTGCAATTTGAGGGTGCGAAGTTGAGCCCGAAGTGACGGACAGCCAGTGCTAATTTGTCCATCGCCGCTCGGCTCATTTGTGAGCTGTCAGAGATTAGGGTAATATCATCAGCAGAACGTTTTGCTCATTCCACGGGTTTATATTGTTCTGTTATTTCACTGTTATCCTTGTGCTGCATACGCCATGCACGCGCATTACTGTCTGTCATTCGAATTTGCCACTACGAGAAGTTTGATGACCGACCCTTCTTCTTTCTCCACCTGCCTTGATGATCGTTGTGTTCATGGTGTATATGATAGTGTCCTAAATAGAACTGAACACCTATTGTTATTATCCATCAAGAATGACAACCATGAAGCTATTCTGTTTCTGAACACCCCCTCCTGTAGGTTGCCACAACTGATGGTGTCGGTGATGGGTCCATTGTGAGCCAACCTGGCACGCAGTCGCAGTCGAACAATGAATCCACCTTCCGATCAGTTGGATGTATTACAGTTATCTTCATATTGTATCTGTTTGTCTCGCACTGCGTATGGGTATCGTCCTACGCGTATTCCAGTCCGTCCATTGTGTTGGCTACTTACGGGCGGGATGGAGCTCGCTACATACTGGATGATTTCCGGTGAGCTTTGGGTTCCAGATTTTGTCAGATACGTCTAGCTTACAGTAATAATGATTTGTCTTCATCTGATATTGCGCATTTCTTGAAGTTGGTAACTGTGAGATAAAGTACATTGGTCTCATTCACCGAGAAATTCCTTGTGAATTTCTTGAATTCGGTTTCTCGTACCCAACAATTATTATTTCGTCCGAATCGATTGTACTCACTTTTCCCAACCACTTTATATTCTATCTAATATCTGCCTCAATCTTCTCAGTCGCGGAAACTGAATCTACTGCATGTCTGTTTTCAGACCATAGTGCTTTAACTGATCTGTTTTGTCTCCCCCATTACTTGTAGGTATACCACATTATTTGTGGCCTTTCCCTTTGCTTACTTTAAAAAGCGCTGCTTAACTAGTTCGTTTTTCCACATGGTGCTAGATTTCCTCCGGTTTCATATTCATTTTGACCCGATAAAGACACTCTACAGACCTGTTATAGTTATCGATTCGCATTGTGTCTGTCGAATTGGTCATTTTCATTTGTCTGTTCACTTTACCCCATCAAGTCACGTATCTCCACTATTGATATACCATTACCAATTCCAAAATTCCGACTGTCCATTACCGGTTCCCGACCAAACCCTCAATCATTGCGAGTATAGAAAAGCGGAATGTTCGAAATTGCGATTTTCGTTCTGCGTTTCCTTCTGCGTCATGACGTATTTTGTTTTGTGTGCGTTACCTCGCGCGTGTCTCACTCTGCTTATCCGTGCATTTTCAGGGAAGCCTACTTTTGGCTGTGGCAAAACACTCAACCAGACTCACGGATTATGTCTTGGTGGGACTACGGATATCAAATTGCCGGAATGGCTAATCGGACAACCTTAGTGGACAATAACACATGGAACAACAGCCACATCGCGTTGGTCGGTAAAGCGATGGCATCCAACGAATCTGAGGCCTACAAGGTAGACATATGCTGGTGCACCATTTTCGTTACTGTTGCTCACATAGTGCTCTTTCTCTTCCTGACGTCGGCTACGTGGCACGTGTGATGTTGACGTCAGGATTGTTTTACAGAGAGTAAACACTCTGCACAGTCAACTCGCGATGGATTAACAAAATGCACACTCTAATCCGGTGAAGCAGTATTTAGTGGCGAGACCCATTTCTCTGATGCACGACAGCATACACACGCTTTAGCCCTTCGCTTGTATGCAGACATCTCACCGGCATGTAGCGTTACTATTAACCCCGACTCCCGTTTCACCTTTCAGAGTGCACCTTGTTTACCATTGAACGGGCTCTTTCCACGCTGCTGTGTATATTCTCTTCATAACCCTAAACCTAAATATTCTGCCACCTGTAACATTCTCATGTTTCTGTGACGGTTAATCGATCCGCACACATGGCTTGACATATTCCCCCACATCCATTTTACCGGTTTTCATATGCTTTCTGGTAAATTTCCAGGACTTTGTTCTACACCATAGTATATTTATCGGTTCATTAGGGTCATAGGGTTTATTCCACAAGCATAAATCAATGCGAAATACGTTTGACTCACAGAACGACGACGTTTTAGGACCGATGAGGTTTCTCCTTTAATTCAGTTAAACAGCAGACGAGCTGCTGACTGTGGCGCACCCGATCTTCAGCCAGCCAGTGGAGCTGCGTTTGCTGCTTCCAGCGATTGAATCCGTCAGGTTCAGCTCCCATATGCTGTCCGGCTCTTTTGGGACTTGTTCAATTTCGGTAGACATTCCCATCCCAATATCCGCTCAGTGGGCTTTTGTCTGCTTGCTTTTACTTGTTATCTGGTGACATCCATGCAGTTTTTAGTTAGCGTAATTCACTCAGCTGGACAGATGATGGAGGTTTCCAGGTGGTGCGTTGGTGCCAGGATGACCAACGTTTGGCACCGAGCTGCTGTAGGCGATCTCCGTTGTGTGTCCTGCGAATACCATGGCGATGTTAACCATCGAGTTCACGTTCGTCAACTTCAGGTCCACCGACCTACACGGTTAGGTCTTTCGTAGGCACCACGATGATTGTGCGAATATCGGGGAGTTGACACTAAAACTCATCTTTAACAGAACCAGGACTGCAGTCTCTGGGTGCATACGTCGCTACAACGAACAAACAACGTGTGCTGAGCGCCACAGTTGAACCACCGTACTGAGTATTCCAGCCGAATCGCGCAGCGTTGGCGAACTTTTACCCCCTTTCAGTATCACCAGTGGCGTTGCGTTTCTTTCGGAGGACAGACTTCGAAACTTAGAGTATGCAGACGATATCGCCGTAAATTGTTATTCTTTGCAGGCCGACTAAATGTGCTGCGTTGGTTTGAGGTGTCTGTCCTAGTTCGGAATGGTCTTCGCCCCATCCAGTTGTAAGTTCTTCCTGCAGAACTGACTAGGAACTGTTCCTTCTCCCACCATTTCAGCTTATCCTTTGGGAGTGGTAGACAAATCCGCTTACGGCGGAAGCTGGCTTAGCACTAACTGCTTAACGGATGAAGTATCTTTGCATGTCTCTAAGACTGCGCTTGCTTTTGGTAGTCTCTGGCGTCGAGGCAACCTGAGCCTCTCTGAAACGCGTTTATAAGGATAAAGTGAGAGCGGTCCTGCTCTATGGTTGCGAGACGACTTAGCGCAAAAGATGTTCACAGGATGTTTGTTTTTGAACACCGTCGCCTTTGAAGTATTGTTTGTGGATGACGTTCGTCCAAGGGTCTTCAGGTCAGATAGACTGTGCCGGCCCCTAAGCTGCATACTTTCACTGCACAGGCTATGGTGGCATGGGCACATGCTTCATATGACAGCTTAGCGTTTGCCTCACCGTACTTTCTTTGCGCGCACAGAAGTGTGCTGGATGCGGAAATGGTGTTCAACGGATGACTCAAATTCAAACTATGGAAGTGCTAACGTCAACCTTGGCCGTGGTCTGACGCTCAGCACTCCAGCGCTGGGGGCAAAATGACCACCAACACACCGGACTTAAAACTCTCTCAGACGTGCAAAGATCTCGCAATCAATGGTGGAAATGTTTGAAGATCCTACTCTCGTGATTACTTTTTTTACACTTGTTCTCTCTCTCTCCCTATATATATATATATATATATATATATATATATATATGGGCCGGCTCCGTTGATGAAACGTGGCTCCCATCCACATGCCTCCCGGTCTTATTCCTTCGGGTTTACACTGGATATGGTGTGTGTGGTTGGAGCTGTGGGTTGGTGCAGCGCAACCTATCCATGGCTCCTCTGTAGGCGCAGGCGTCCTGTGGCTGGCCACAGTGACAGGCAAATCGGAAATCAGATGCCACCAACCATATATATTCGATTTAAATCGTTTGATATCCCCTAATTCGCAGTTACACTTGTCTAAGCCCACCCTAACAATAGATCAGAATTCGTGCACTTTCTTGATTTGCTTACTTCTGTCATTCTTCCGCACTATCCAGTTGCTCGTTTATTTTCTTTCATATTCCTTTGTATTCAAAGTGTTGCCTCGTGCTGAGGTTAATGTTACATACACCATGCATTTTCACTGCAGTTTGGCTAGACCGACTTACATTTAAACTTGATCTTCTTAACCTGGATAAAAAGTATCCCTCTTTCTTTGATTTACTCAGATCAGTAATTTTGCTGAATATCTGTGTCATTTTTGCGTATTTATTTTCCTTGGAATTATGTGTTGGTTGTTTGATATCCCCGATGTGGCTGCGCTCGATGTGCATACTGACAAGATGCTTATCTGTCTAACACCCTCTATCTCGATTGCTGGCTCCAGAAGACCGAATCGTTGCTGGGGGGCGGGGTGCACAGTCCTTGTGGCCGCGCTAGGCTCAAAGTGTGATTTTTACCCAGTGTGGAGCGGACTACGGTCTAGCCACCGCATTATGTACGTCTGGTACGCATGATTCACCACATAGATGGACAAAAATGTTGCTGCTGTGCATGTTGAAGGAGTGTGTGACGGCTCCGTTGATGAAACCTGGCTCCCATCCACATGCCTCCCGGTCTTGTTCCTTCGGAGTTACACTGGATATGGGGTGTGTGGTTGGAGCTGTGGGTGGTGCAGCGCAAGCCATCCATGGTCCCTCAGTAGGCGCAGGTGTCCTGTGGCTGTCCTATGGAGGTTGCAGTGACAGGAAAATCCGGAACCGGATTGTGCCAACCAGATGCCTCATGCTGAGGTTGATGTTACATTTATTACACTACTTCACCGCCATTAGGCTAGAGCGACTCACACACTGTTGTTCTGCACTACACTAGATCTAATTCAGTCCAGTTTATTTGCTTGGTTCGGTCTGTCCTTCGCATTTTGCGCGTTCATTTTCAAGAACAAAAGACCGAAGGTAAACAATTGTTTTCGATGATTCATCTTCAGACCCGTACAATCATATGAGTGAAATAGCAATGGGCGTAAAAGTGGATTAACGATCAGTTCAAATGAGATTGATCACGCGCCGACCAAGGGTATGAACCAGCAACAAACGGTAAACTAGGACAGAGGTGTAGTTGCACAATTAGTTGCTCTCAGAAGGATCCGTTTTGGTTGGCCAACGTAACTTGACAGCTTCGATCAGCTACTTTTGTGCACACAAAAGCGGTTGATACAACCGAATGCTGATCGCCTCAGCAGTAGCAAACCGTGTATGGCAAAGGCGTTTGGCCCTAAGGAAGACGTTGAATCAGCATAAGCCGCAATCTACTTTCCCTAATAGACCTGAAAGCTAGGTGCACAGTTTTTCAAGTATGAAATTGAACTTCACTTTAACGAGAGTTCTATCGCTTGGTCCAAAGTTTTGCGCTCCCAAACACAAAGACAATCAGCTTCACTATGAGTTACAGTTTGAAAGTCTGTTTGGCCAAACAAAAGGGCTAGTAGCTAAGTCAAATGAAGACCTGGAACGTTTCAAGTGTTCTCTGGTGAACACTTGCTACCAGTATCGCAAGTGCCATGTCCAAACTCATGATCCACTGACACGCAAACACCTTGACGCGCTGTACGATTTACGACGTAATGATAAGATCCTTCTGAGCAAACCAGACAAGGGTACCGGAGTCGTTCTATTAGACAAAGAAGACTATATACGCAAGCTCGAAAAAGTTCTAAGTGATGAATGCTGATGATGGAGAAAAGGATCAAGCATATATATATATATATATATATATATATATATATATATATATATATATAACAACAGTCTATGAATAGACATACAGCCATCAGAAACCACGGAACGCAAAAGAAGGTACAGAAATTGTCAAAGAAAACACAACACATTAAAGTCCATGATTTCTTCGGAGGGCGTGATACTACCCGGTTGCCCAAGCCGAAGTAGGGTGTTGACTTAGGGGATACCACCTCGAGCCTTTGGCTGAATAGCCTGCCCGCAAGACAGCGGAGCGAATTCAGGGAATCGCGCCCATTGGGAGCCGGTGACTGCTTGCTCAGTCCATACGCCTTTCGTATGTTCCTTTGTCAACCAGGAGCCCAATGCTCTCCAGAATTCCAGCACAAAGGTGCTGGAATATACTGCTTCGCCAGGATGGAGCAAAGGGCGGTGACTATTTAGTGGCGAGTCACGTCCGCCACGTCACAGTGTTGTTAAACGGACATATGTGGCTTTTTATAGGGAGAACGCTTGCCAGGCGAAAATTCACCACGTCCTGGAACACTGCTGCCAAACCATTTTCTGGAACGGTAAAATCCCGAACCACGCAGCTGGCACCACGAGGAGGTTGTTCAGCAAGGCATCCAGCCAGAGAGGATTGAAAATCAGATTACTAAAAGCTTGCAACATCTTCGGATTAGTGGACATATACCAAATACACTTTATGATAGCCTTAAGCCGAGTGGCACCAATGTCCCGAGGCTTTATGGGTTACCGAAAATTCCTAAGACAGATGTCCCGTTTCGCGCGATCTTACTAATGGTTAACTCACCCTGCC